GATTCCATCTCATAGAGAAGGCCTTCAATCCAATCAGATAGTGGTTGGTTACCATCACAACTTTTCTGCCACTACTGCACCAGTGTATCATTCAGGAAGATCACTGTTGTAGATGCAAGGGCTTGTATTTGGGTTAATATTTACCTTTCTTCTTTAGTACCATACATAGTCTGTTGAAATACTATGACACTAGTCAAAAGGGATGAAGGATCTAGGTAGCTCAACTTTTCTGTGTTCAATGAGTTATGTATATAGGTGCTATCTTCAGCAATATGATCTTACCATCAGTATGTAGTGAATAACTAATCCTTGGCAATAACCTGGGTTCTTTGGGGGCTTCCATGGGGTCCATTTGGCAAACAACACAATTAAATGTAACACGTTTATGATACTGGAAGTTTTATTTGGTGGTGAGAGATATCAAGTTGTGGCTTTGCCTCCCCCATTATTTGATGATTCCATTAAGATTTCTTTCCTATCTGTCTGTCTTTCTGTCTGTCCGACCACCCACCCATCCACCCACCCACTCATCCATCCACCCATCCACCCACCCACTCATCCATCCACCCATCCACCCACCCACTCATCCATCCACCCATCCACCCACCCACCCATCCATCCACCCATCCATCCATCCATTTATCAATAATCTATCAACTTATTCTATATCTATTTAATATATAAAGAATCCTCTATTGTAGGTTTCCATATGACCATCAAATATGCACTTTTAAATTAAGCACAGATGCAAGTGTGTTGGACGTATATATATATACCAATGAGAGAGTCATTCCCCTCTCCATACAACTAACCAAGGTTAGACCTACTTGACACAGTGATTTCCAGTTCTGAGTGAAGAAGTGATGCTGCATGTGGCCTGCGAAGTTTTCATCTCCTGACATGTGGTGTGCTCCTTTGCTCTTTCTGGAATAATGAAAACTTTTCAGGAATTATCTGCTGGGTCTGGGAAGCTATGCTGAGACCCAGGGGATTTCAATCAAGTGTAAGTCTGCTCCACAGCATGTTAAAATGTGTATATCTCCCATGCAGACATCACATGATTTTCTTTTCCTTTCTAATCCAGTCTTCCTTTCATGGGCAGATTTTTAGGGTGGCCTTATCCCATGCTCAGAGCAGAGTGATCCAGATCAAATGTTCACACCACCTCCCACACACACTTTCTGGAAACCCTGTCTACCCAGAAACCAAAGCAGACATTCTTCCCCACCCCTTTTTACGACTTCAAGTACACAGTTTAGCCATTATTAGTATATTACCTGGGAGTCAATTACCTCAATTTTAAAACATCTCAACATTCCTAAGAGAAACTCCAAGACTTTATCAGTCCCTTCTCATCTCCCACTCCTAGGTGACCACTGATGGTCTGTCTCCACAAATTGCCTATGTGGATATCAGTATAATGGTATCATACCACATGTGGTCTTTCATTCAGCTTCATGTTTTCAAGCTTAATCTATGTGGTAGTGTGTATTCATTTCCTTATTACCAAGTACTATTCTGGCATATGGATATACAACTTTTTCATTTGTTCATTAGCTGATGGGCATATGAGTTGTTTCCATATCTTTTCATTTCTCTTGGAAATATCTAGGTATGGAATGCTGGACCATTATTAAACTGTTTGACATTTTCAAACTGCCAAGCTATTTTCTCAAGTGAATGCACATTAATTTACATTCCCATCAGCAATGTATGAGAAATAATGAATACATCTTTGCCTCTGAAGTCCTTTCCTTCCCTCTGTCCTTGACACTAATGGGACCTAGCACCTGGCTAACTCTCCTTGACATCCTTCTATGAGACAGATGACCAGAGCAATTTCTGATCTTTTTCTACTTCTTAACTCTCTCTTGAAGGCCTTGTTATTCACCAGTCAGTGGCATTACAATTTCCTTTGGTATACATTCTTCTTCAGGAATTGAAGTCTTCCCAATTCAATCTCTAGCACATGAATCAGTTATCTGGTCTACTGCCCCTAATCATCCTATGGGTGAGTTATCACAAGATACAGACTTAGAAGGAATTATTAGGAAGCTTGGTGGTAGTAGTACTTCAAGTATCCCTCTCTCCAGACCTGTAAGCATGCAACTATAAGGTGCTTAGCGGGACAGGGTGACACTGACAAACTTCTAGTCTCTCTGTAGCCTGTGGCAGCATTGTGACAATTAGTGTCTCTGCTTCATGTCTCACCTGCTTTTGCTGGCAAGATGCCTGGACAGGACACAGAACATGGATGAGAACGTATAGCTTCAATCCCAGTTCACATAGTAGCAGCATGAATTACTGGCCGAGACACAACCTCCAACCTCTTTAAGGAGTTGCTGTGTGGGTTAAATGAGAATGCTATCACTCAAAATTTAGTAGACGTTTGACAGGTGTTATTTTACTTATCTTTCCAGATCTTGTCTCCACTAAAGGAGACCACCATTAATGCTAGAGGAGCATTTAACAAGTAATCTTAAAGCATCTCAGGCTTTTCATTGTGTGAAGGTTAAAACGCCACGGTCTGATATTTAGCATGCCCTTATTTGGGCCACCATCCGAATCCCACCTGAATGTTAGGATTACAGGTGTATGCACTACCACACCTGGTTCTTCACAACAGATCTGTATCACAGTCTTTTTGGTTTCATAGCTCATGCTGCTAACCACTTTCCTAGAGAGGGCAATAGTACCTAATGTGTAAAGTGAGTGTCACTTAAGTGCCCAAGAACACAGATGAAGATCTGAGTACCAAAGTTAGGATTTGGCAGCCTAGAACAAAGTAGCTATGCTACCTTGGCAATATAAATGATAGCTCATTCCTACTGGTCTCCAAGTACCAATCAACTTGTTTCTTCCCACTAGAACCCCTCACTTCATTTTGGACACTGTCCTTGAGAAGAAGTCTTTACTAGAGATGTGATAGCTTCCATTATTTAGAGAAACTGTTCATGTCTGGAAATGCATGCTTATTTTTTCCCCTGGGGATATCATTTTAGATAGTTTTAAATAGCCTCTCCATGGTCTCCACTTCTGCAGGCAAGAAGTCCATACAGGAGCACCAGTCCCTGAGGGTTACCAACTGACAAAGTCCTTGAGGAGGAAATACATGGCTCACTCCTGAGAGATGAAATCTCACTCAGTTATAGCTGAAATTCTTGGAAAAGTAGACAAAGACAGGTACTGTGCTGTAGAAAGGATGTGAACTTGGCAGCCAGATCTGCCACTGACAGGATGTGGGATCTCAGACAAGTTCTTTAAAAACAAACAAACAAACAAACAAACAAACACTTTCTTCTGTAAAACAAAAAGAATTTAACAGGCTCTTTAACTGACTAGCTACAAAGTGCTCAGCTTTTAAATAATGGACTTAACCATGGTGCAGGCAGGAAAGGCTGTGGACAATTCTGGATTACAAGTTTTGTTTGCATATGTTTACTTCAAAATTCAGGTGTTGCTAATATGGCAGAGTTAAAAAGTGGGGATTGGGATAATAGACAATCTGGGCTACTTCTTTAATGGTCAAAGGGCCCTTATAAAAGGGGGGTGCCTCAACATTAGGGTAATCTGCTATATAAGGATAAAGACATTTGCCCCATGGATGATGCAATATAGCCAAACAACTCAACTATGTCACTACCTGAATCCTAGACCTAGCCTCCAGAAATACAAGAAACAAATACCTGGTCTTTATAAATGGTCACACCTCAGGTATTTTGTTGCAGCAACATTGATGGATTAAGAGGAGCTTATCCAGTTCTTAGTGTGTTTGTGGTAAGGACAACAGGGAGGGAAAATACCCACAAAGCTGAAGCCTGAAAGGTGAGAAGTCCCCCCCCCCAAAGTGGAGCAGAAATGTCAAGAAGCCTCACAGTTGGGTCACCAACCTATGAAACTAGTTCTCTAGCTGTCTGTTTATCCATCCCCTCAGGTTAAGGACCATTTTACATATACTCAGCTGTCTCCCCATACTCAAAGGTATCTTTTTGACAATTTGAGCAAATGACTTATATACTTCATTTCCAACGCAACAAAGGGATGATTCTGCTCTCTGCACCTGAGCCTCTGAGAGGCAGCTGCTCAGAGTTCTTGTTCAGATGGGGGTGACAGGATGTTCTGAAGGATGGAAGCAAGTCAGGGTCTTTGGCTGTTTTGGGGAACAAAAGGGTGTGATCTTGGAACTATGGATCTATACAAACCCTTGCTTGGATTCTTCAAGGACCTAAAAACCACTGGGCAGGACCACAACTCCTATCTATAAGTTATGTGACATATCTTTCTTGCTGAGATGTTACAGAGATGGACTCAGAAGTGTGCTTATGTTGAACTGTCCATTCCAGCAACTATAGAACCTACTGCATCATGATGTCCTGGTGATGGGAATGAGCAGGAGCTGTGCTGGGAACACCAACTGGGATGTGGCACACTATTTCCATTTTTTTTCAAATGGCCATGCATTCCTGTTATCCCAATAAATAACAAGGAGAGAATAGCACTTTGATAATTTGAGGGTTCTTCTCTTCCTCTAAAACTGTACCCCACTAATCTGATGATGTGCAAGAAGACAATTCGTCATCAAAACCCCATGAGGAAAACAGCTATATAGACTATTTATCAAGTTACACAAATACACATGAGTCCAAGTGTGCCTATTGGAAGGGGAATGGCCACAAAAGGTATTCCTTGATTAATCTTTTTGAAACAAGCAATTGGGCCTCACTTGGAGAGCTCAGTGGACACACTCTGGGTCCATTTTACAAACAATGATTAGTTTTTCTCTTACAGGTTGGCAGTTTGCAGCATGGGCAGGCAATACCTTAGCTATGGCATTCACAGTGTGCATGCAGTCTTGCTTTGAGAAAACATCTAGGGGCTGCTCAAGCAAATCCCAACCAGCTACTGGAGGGAACATTATCACATGACTCCTACTTTCTTTCCCACTCTTTTGTTGGATAGGCTATAATAGCTCAAAGCCATGTACTCTGCAACAACACAAATATGTCAAAGTAAATTTAATATAGATTAAAATGTTAACATATATCATTCAATTAGTAACAAAGGCACTAGGTTATATACATATTCCCTTCCTACCACCCTCATATTAATGCCAAAAAAAAAATGCCTGCAGAACAGAGAAGGCAACTGGTGAGGAGTGTGAAGTATGAAAATTGTGTTCACTGGTGCTCCCCTGAAAACTCAGTTTTTTTCTCTCTTAAAAACTTCTCCTGTTGGTAAGATGCACAAGCAATTAAATTCCATTCACTGGCATGGCACCCAGAATAAGCCTTTGATTTTTAGGCTGTTTATGACTTTCCCAAGGGTTAATAATCTTCTTAAAGAGATCAGATTCTACTTCCTATTCTTCCGGAGACACATAATTTGGAGTAGCAAGAACACTGATGCTCAGGATGAGTGATTAGAGTTATAGCACGTCTAAGGGACTAGGTATAGAGAAGCTGTCTGTGACACACAGGACAGAGAGAAGATGGTTCTGGAAACCTAACTGCCATTTCTGCCACTCCAAAGATATAGCCTAAAGGTGTTTTGAAATAGAACAAGTCTGATTGAATTTGAAAAGGAAATTGGAATCTGCAATGAACTTTCAACTTCCCAAGGGAATGACTGCAAGTAATTTGTCTTGCCCTTGTATTTGCCTCAAATGAAGAGCGTGGAATTGAGAGTCTCGAAGGGAAGGGAGACCGGGTAGAATCAATAGGACTGATCTCAGTCTGGACGGAAAGGATTCCTATCTAGGTCAATAAGGATGCTCAGCAGAGCTTTCCTAGCTCTGTACCCAGGGCAGTCAAAGTAGGATAGGACATCCTTAGGGAGTGAGCAAGGGCAGAATGCACCTGCCAACCTGCAGCCACTGGGGGCACTCTTTCTCTAGTGCTGTCTTCCCCAGACACAACCGTGAGGGAAGTTCACAAGAACACCTGGAACTGGAGTCAACAAGAAATGCCCATCACGAACACTGATAGATTTCCCCAGGCAGCCATTCTCACCTGTGGCTTAAGGCCAGTCTGGCTGGAAACTTCCCTTAATCCACTGAGCTTTCTGTTGTAAGGGGCAGCAATGATCATGTTGATGATGATCACTATGATTCTCATGCTTTTGCTCCCAAGTAGTGGTGATATTAAGGTCACTAACTTCAATTTTGGAATGAACAGCCACACTTAGTGAGGAGAGAAAGGGTGAAGAAGGAAGAACATTTCTGAAGTGGATATTTTCCTATGTAAGGGAAGAGCCAACTTTTTGCAGCAGTGAATGGAAAATACTCTTAAAAATGATAGTAGATATCCATGGTGTCTGAGATGCACAAAGTATCCTAAATTTCTAATCCTTGGCATAGAAAAGATCCTATCCCTAAGCCCACCTCTTTTAGCCTGTTTTCGGTTTTAGTGTGTTTTCTGACAAAAACCACCCTGATTTATTAGTATGATTTCTGTATTGATACTTAAGAGGATGCTAGAAAGATAGGTCCCTGTGAAAGGAGTCGGCTGTTTTGCAATTAAGTAATTTAACATCCTACATCAGTATGTAAAGGAACCCAGATATTTCCTATGGAAATTTTGTAGCCTGTGCTTCAGAGTTATATGAAAAATATGTCTTCCAGAATCTGATTTTCCTCCAGGTCTTCAGGGCTCTTGTGTGTCCCCACTTTCTTCCAGGTAGATTTCTGAGGGCTAGGCCGGAAAGCACTCCACACTCCTGCTGCTCTGGAGGGATGGGGCTGAGATTTGGGAGCAGAATTTGGGCTCAGAGACTGAACCAAATCCAACAGAGATGTCTCATACCTGTAAGACAGCCCAGACAAAACAGGATCAGACAATTAGAACACAAGGGAACAAAAGTGTAGACAGAGGTTTCTGTGCCATCTGGTCCTGCTGCCATTTGGTCCCAAATAAACACACAAAGGAATATTAATTATAAACTGTTTGGGCAATGGCTCAGACTTCGTATAGGCTAGCTCTCTCCTAATTATTAACCAATTTATATTAATCTGTGCTTCTCCACATGGTTTTGGCTTACCGGTGATGCCAGAGTCTCTTGCTTTCTTGGCAGCTACATGATGTCTCTCTGCTGATTCACTCTCTATGTTCTTTTTTCTCAGCCTTCTCCTGGTCTGGTAGCCCCACCCATACTTCCTGCCTGGCTACATCCTGCCTGTCCATTGGCCAAACGAGCTTTATTCATCAAGCAATAAGAAAAGTATATAATCACAGCAAACAGAAGGACATCCCCATTACAACACCGCTTCAGAGATGTCCAGAGCCAGAGTTTGAGCACAGATTCCATCATGGGGAAACTTAAGGAGAAAATTCCCCAGGAAGGGTTTGTTTTATTCTTCTGTTGACTCCACCAGTCCTTTATAACTCAGGAAGGGAGACTGTAGAATAGGAAGATAACAGTGATGATAACACTTATACCAAATTAGGCTGAGGCAGGCAGTGGCTTCATTTCCCGCTGTGTGCAAGCTTCTCTGCTCCAGGACAGAGATGCTGCATAATTCTACATATGTTCTTTATGGCTTGAAAGTGATACAGTACTTCTTGTGTGGGACAGATTAGACCTTCAAAAAGAGAGGCACTCACAATGCTTACCCACTGAGCAAATGGGTCTTTTAACACATTTGGACTTATTTTCTTATTTTATGGGTGAGGAAACTGAAGTTCAGAAAGATGAGACAAGTGATTTGAACCACACCTCCTTTGACTTCCTAGAGTAGTGTCTTCAGTTTTTCTACAAAGACCAACAAATACAATAGTGGCGGCGTTTGCCTTTAATCCTAGCATTGTGGGGCAGAGGCCGGTGAGTTTGAGGCTGGTCTATGCAGTGAGTTCCAGGTCAGCCAGGCCTACATAATGAGATCATATTAAAAATGAATAATAAAGCAAAAGCAGCAAAAGAGAAAGATTGTTGCCTGACTATGTCTTAGTTTTTTTTTTAATAACTAGGCTAATCATAGCTGAAAGTATGCTTTTTCTCCAACAAATTAATCTAATGTACCAATACCCATCTTTATGGATCTGCTATTGTTATAGAAATTCCATTTCTCTGAAAGAAACATGAAATCATGGATTATACTGTGGGAAACAAATCATAAAGTTTGTGGTAGGCTGGGAGCAAATTGCTCCTCATAGGTAATTTCAATTGCACTTTTGCTATTATAAAAGTCCAAATAACTTGACAAGTCAAAAGACAACAAAGATTACCTAAAGAGAAAATCTTGAGAATCACACAATTTAGCCCAAGAACTATATATGCCATAAAGAAAAAGGCAAATGAATTCATATGTGATGTCACAATACATATCAGAATAGTGTCTTTACCAGCTCACATTATGTGAGCAGTTGTTCAGTGTCCTGAAATAACAAGATAGAGACTACAAAGTTATCTCTTGGTATCTGAATATTAATAGGACTTATCACTTATTTAGATTCACAAAATGCCATCCCTTGAAACATCTGGTCTGTGTTTTCACCACAGACATGAATTCTATTACTTCTGAACCTCACAGAGCCACACCCACATTTCCTAGTACAAAACTGACTTGAAGAGCTTCATTGTGGCAGAGTGATGAGCAAAAAGCTTGCTTGGTCTGCTTTGCCAGTCCTATTCTTGTCTGTGATGATGTGGCACTAATTCTATCTCCCTAGAGCTAGACATAGAGCTAGACAGAGCTAGATCCTATTCTCCATTTGTTTGCTCCTGATGACACTTGAAAGGCACAAAACTTGAGAGTACACAGTCTATGCTGATGTGACTTGGCTCCATACTACAAACTTTAGAGTCAGTCTGACAAGGTGTGCTGGAATAGCCTGAAGACAATTATTTCTGGGTTCATTCCACAGGTTGCCCTGGATGAGAAGAATTTCTCCATAGGCTACCACCAAGAGACATATCCCTCCTTAAGCTTTCCTGAATGAGAAGCCCCTCCCCATGCTGCTTCAAAGAGATGCCCCGCTCCATTGGTTGTCCATGATGGGAAACACTATTCCACAGGATGTGCCTGATGAAAAGCATCTCTACATTTGCTGCCCGAAACAAGAGGAACCTCCCCATAGGCTGTTACAGATGAGACATGATGACAGAGGTTTTCTTCCCCTTTCTGATATTTTGTGATTTCATTAGACCTCCCTGACTTTCATTCTTCTCCTGCCAGGGTTCAGTCCTTAGCTCCCAACTCTTTGGTGACTTCACTACTCTCAGTAGTGACTACTGAACACAGGTATCAAAATTGGCCTTAAGTTCCAGAATCACACAGTCAACTGATACCTGATACTTTTATTCAGATGTTCAATAGGAATTTCAAAATATCTAAAACATAACTTGGCATTTTTGTACAATCCTACTCCTTTCCTTTAATCTAGTTGTACAGATTAAAAAAAAAATCTGCTATCCTAGCCAAAACAATCCTGTACAATAGAGGGCCTTCCAGAGGCATCACCACCCCTGACTTCAAGCTCTACTACAGAGCTATAGTCCTGAAAACAGCTTGCTATTGATGCAAAAATAGACAGGAGGACCAATGGAATCAAGCTGAAAACTCTGGGATTAACCCACACACCTACGAGCAACTGAGTTTTGACAAAGAAGCTAAAATTACACGATGGAAAAAAGAAAGCATCTTCAACAAATGGTGCTGGTATAACTGGATTCTGACATGTAGAAGACTGCTAGACGCATATCTATAGCCGTGCACAATACTTAAGTCCAAATAGATCAAAGACCTCAACATAAACCTAGCCACACTGAACCTCTTAGAAGAGAAAGTGGGAAGTACCCTTGAATGATTTGGTACAGGAGACTGCTTTCCTGAACATAACACCAATATCACAGACACTGAGATCAACAATTAATAAATGGGACCTCCTGAAACTGAGAAGCTTCTGGAAGGCAAAGGACACACAGTGGACAAGACCAAATGGCAGCCCACAGAATGGGAAAAGATCTTCACCAACCGCACATCTGACAGAGGGCTGATTTCCAAAATACACAAAGAACTCAAGAAACTAGTCACCAAAAGACCAAACAATCCAATTAAACAGTGGGGTAAAGAATTAAATACAGAATTCTCAATAGAGGAATCTAAAATGGCTGAAAGACACTTAAGGATGTGCTCAATATCCTTAGCCATCAGGGAAATGCAAATCAAAACAACTCTGAGATACCATCTTGCTCCTGTCAGAATGGCTAAAATAAAAAACACCAAAGACAGTTTATGCTGGAAAGGATGTGGGAAAAGGGGAACACTCCTTTACTGCTGGTGGGAGTGTAAAGTCGTACAGCCACATTGGAAATCACTATGGTGGTTCCTCAGGAAAACTGGAATCAGTCTACCTCAAGATCCAGTAATTCCACCCAGGCACATTCCCAAAGTATGTACATTCGTACAATAAGGATATTTGTTCAACTGTGTTCATAGCAGCAATATTTGTTATAGCTAGAATCTGGAAGCAACCTAATTGCCCCTCAACTAAAGAATGAAAAAAAAAAAAAAAAGGTACATTTACACAATGGAGTACTACTCAACAGAAAAACAAAACAAAACAAAACAAAACAAAACAAAAACCCAATGGAATCTTGAAATTCTCAGGCAAATGGATGGAACTAGAAGAAACTATCCTGAGTGAGGTAACCCAGTCGCAAAAAGACAAACATAGTATTTTACTCATTCACATATGGACATTAGACATAGAGCAAAGGATTACCAGCCCACAACCCACACTACCAGAAAAGCTAGGAAACAAGGAGGAGACAAAGGGCAAAGGGACAAGATCTCCTGAGAAAACTGAGAGCACGTGGGAAGGGAGAGAGGGGGTTAGGAGAAGGAGAAGGGGAGAAGAGGAGGGGGGAGGAGGACATGAGGGAGCAGGAAGCCTGAGTCAGGGTAAGGAAAGAGGAGAGCAAGAAAAGAGATACCATAAAAGAGGGAGCCATATAGGTTTAAAGAGAAATCTGGCACTAGGGAAATGTTCAGAGATCTACAAGGATGACCCCAACTAAGAATGTAAGCAATGGTGGAGAGGCTACCTTAAATGCCCTTCCCTGATAATGAGATTGATGACTACCTTATATGGCATCCTAGAGCCTTCATCCAGTAGCTAATGGAAGCAGAAGCAGACACTCACAGCTAAACACTGAGCTGAACTCCTGGAATCCAGTTGCAGGCAGGGAGCAGTGATGAGCAAAGGGGTCAAGACCAGGCTGGAGAAACCCACAGAAACTGCTGACATGAACCCCAGACTGATAGCTGGGAAACCAGCATAGAAATGATCCAGGTTTCCTGAACATGGGCGTTAGTTAGGAGGCCTGGGCAGTCTATGGGGCCTCTGGTAGTGGATCAGTATTTATCCCTAGTGCACACATGGACTTTGGGAGCCCATTCCATATAGAGGGATACTCTCCCAGCCTAGATACACAAGATGTAACAGACTCTGATGATCCCCCATGGAAGGCCTCACCCTCCCTTGGGAGTAGAAAGGGGATGGGATGGGGGTGGGTAGAGGGAAGTAGAGAATGGGAGGGAGAGGTAACTGGGATTGATATGTAAAACAAGATTATTTCTAATTTAAATTTAAAAAAGAAAAAAAAAAGAACTGTAAAAGATTAAAATAAGTGACTAATTTAAAAAAAATCACAATTCTATCTGTGCCAGAGAGATGGCTCAGCCATTAAGAGTACAGGGGACCTGAGTTCAATTCCAAGCACCCATATGGAACAACTTGTAAGCATTTGATTCTAGCTCCAGGGAATCCAGTGTTCCTGGGCTCTGCAGGCACCTGTGCTTACA